TTTTTCAATTTTTTCCAAAGAAAAACACACTAATTTCTACTGAGGATATGATTTTTAAAAAAGAACATTATTCAACATTGATCTTCAAAAGCTTATTGTGCAAAGCATTATCCCATAACCTTCAGCCTGGGCAACAGAGCAAAACCTTGTCTCTACAAAAATTAAAAATTAAAAAAATTCTGCAGCCACAGTATAACTCAGAGATTATAGAGTCTAGCAGTTACCTAATTGGTATCCACATGTAACTGAGGATGGCATTTGGGGAGGAGTATAAGGAGCTGGGGGAGGAGGTATAGTAGCTGTAATATAGGGAGGGACAGTAAATGTAATATAATGCATTTCTACAATCTTCTCCTAGAACAGTGCTCCTGGCCCAGAGAACACAGTTTGGGATCTGCTGTGTTCTGAGGGAACTAAGGACCAGAGAATTAAAGAGAGCTATGAAATGGCAGGGATGGGACACTAAAGCCCAGGACTCTGGCCTATAATGCCTTTCTAATGTATCACAGATTACCATACTAAAACATTTTTAGCATGTTTAAAAGCTCTATTACTAAAAAAGTCACCTGATTCCATATGTTAATTTCAAATTTGGAAGTTTAAGTCATTTATTTATTTCCTTTTTAAAACATAACTGTGAAATTAACCAAATATGGAATCAGTGAGGAAACATTATCTTATAGTCAACTCTTCAAGCTATAAGCCAAGTTCACTTATTTCTTACTCTCTGCTTTCCCTCCTCCTACTCTCTGGTAAATATGAGGTAATCGATTTATTTATATCTTCAAATAAGGGTTCATAGGTATGTGCTGGAATAACAGAGGAAGAAAACATTTTGTCAATCAACTAGCAGAATTTTGACAGTCTACTACAAAATGTTCAGCTATAATACTTCCTGTGGCTCCAAGTATTCTTGTAGCCACAGGATAACTCAGATAACAGGATAGTGAGAAAATGATTTTCTTGGACCATATATGATACATATGAAAATTCTAAAGAGATCAAATTACAATATAATTCCATTACCATTTTTGAGTTTCTATAAGCTTACAAAGGCTATTTTCTGATGCTGGTTGTGCCAAAGGTATGGCCTTAGGAGAAAATCATACAAAGAATTCTATCTTTAAAAATTATTTACACTTGGAATTATACCTGGTTACTGCTATTTATACCTGGTTACTGCTATTTATAGTAAATATTATACATTTTAGGTAACTTAGGTAGCTCTTCCAGAGAAGAGTGAATGATTACATAAGCTTTAAAAAGAAAATTATTTCTTGTGAGCTAAAAAATGTAGTGTTTTCTGAGTTGAGAACAAAGCAGAAATTGCTAATTAAAACAGAATTTAACTCATTGGAAAACTCATTTCTGATAGTATATATGTTTGCTCATTACCAAGAAAAGGTAGTTAACATTAATTTAATATTACATAGACAAGATAACCAGACAAGCAGATGAAAACAAATTATAAGGTGATTAAGGCAGAACATTTCTAGAGAGAACTTATTCTTGGTTTGTAGATGGTGATAAGAGAGGTATGTTACAGAATAGCCTTGTCATAGATTGGAAGTTGTGATTGTGTCACAGAGTGCTGACATTGGAAAATAGCACACTCTTCTGTAAAAAAAGAAAAAAATACTCACCTATGGTAATTTACCATTTGAAGGTAATAAACTTATTCAAGACTAACTACTATACTCAAATAAAAATCACCTGTTTTAAAAAAAAGGAATACAGATATGCATCACATCAAACGTTTTCATTGAGAAGTTGACACGGGTATTCATCCAGTTTATGGTGGATGATCTCAGAAGCTTTCTTGTGTATGAGAAACAGAACTACAGGCCTTTTTGTATAAGTTCCTGTACATCTTGTCCATGCTATTCTCAAAGGCGGGACGGTGGGATTTTCCCCTATACGAGGCTGCCCTGTTGGACCAGTATTCGCCATCATCCAAGTGAGGAGCGCCGCGTGGCCGCTGAAATGAGCTATAAAAAAGGATGTAAAAGATTTAGAACAATGGTGAGACTAATTTATAAGTAGTACTATATACATCAAATATTTATTGAGTACTATATGGGTATCTGATACTCTGTAGGGGCTGAATATAAAAAGGGCTGTGCTTTCAAAGAGTGTGTTCCCCCTTTCCTCAAAAAGCGGAAGCAGAACTATTTATGTGAAACTATTATAAAAAATTAATATGAAAATTTTATGTTAGAGTGAAAAAGGAATTCAGAGAATAGAGACAGGTGCAACATGGTAAAAACAGAACATGGATGATCTGGTATGGCCATGTGGTATGAAAATACATAGCCTCTAAAAGTCAGGCACATCTGGACCTGAATTCAAGTCAGTCCTTTATAAACCATGGGACTTGGGGCAATTTATTAAACTGTCCAGAGTTTCACCTTCCATAATTACATTTTTTCAGGATTATTACCTCAGACTGTAAGCATAAAAAGTTATTGAATATGAGACAATGAACTAGATACTTTATGTATTTATCACTAAATCTCATGTACTCTAGAAGCTGTTACATGTGGAAAGTAGGACTAGTGAAGTTAAGTGATTTGCCTAAGATTCCTCACCTAGTAAGTAGCAGAACAGCAAGGAGACTGACTGTCTGTGACTCCAAGGCCCTTTCTGCTATATCATGCTGCTACTGTTCTCAGTGAGGAACAGAAAATTAGGCTGAATATGAACCATTCAGGGAAAAATGGAAACAAGAGAAGAGGCTGAATTTGAAGTGAAAGGGATCCACTGGACTTTTGAGGGTTTTGAAGAAAAAAGTGGGAGAGAGAGAGAAAACACGTGAGTGAGAGCACGCAGATGGGAAACTAATGAAACAGACCAGAACTAGGGCTGGCTGTGATGAGAACTGAGAGGGAAAGGTGACTCTTTGTGAAGTGTTGATAGTACTTTACTGGTAATACCAAAGTTACAATTTTACTATCATGAACATCAAGTTATAGACTTAATATATCATTTATCACAAATAAAATGTTAACTCCTTCGAAGACTGGGTTTAATTTTTAAAATAAAATGACTGACCTACACCAAATAACTAAATATTTATTACAGATTAGACTCCTCTAACCTGTAAAGAATATGAAATTTGTTCCTCAACACATACAACCTGCCAAGATTGAATGATAAAGAAATAGAAAACTTAGACCAATAAAAGTAATAAGATCAAAACAATAATAAAAAGTCTCTTATCAAAGAAAACCTCAGGATCTGAAGGCTTCACCACTGAATTCTGTCAAACATTTAAAGAACTAGTACCATTCCTACTCAAACTATTCCAAAAAGTCAAAGAAGAAGAACAAATATTCATTCTATGAAGCCAGCATTACCCAGAGACCAAAACCAGACAAACACACAACAATAGAAAACTATAGGCCAACGTCCCTAATGAACATATGCAAAAATCCTCAATAAAATACTAACAAATTAAATTCAACAACACATTTAAAAGATTTTTTACCATGAACAAATAGTATTGATTCCAGTGATAGAGGATGGTTAAACATACACAAATCAATAAACAGTATACTTGACATGAACAGAAGCAAGAAAGTAACAATAAAATCATTTCAACAGATGTAGAAAAAGCATTTGATAAAATTCAAAATCACTTTGTGATAAAAAATCCCTCATTAAAATGTATAATGAAGGAAGATAGTTCACAATAATAAAGGCCATATACAACAAACCTATAGCTAACATTGTATTGACTGAGGAAAAGCTAATGGTACTGTAAAATCTAGAACAAGACAAGGATGCCCACTTTGACCATTTTTATGGAACACAGTTCTAGAAATCCTAGCAATTAGGCAAGAGAAAGAAACATAGGGCAGCCAAATTGTAGAGAAAGAGGTCAAATTAGCCTTGCTTATAAACAACATTTTCTTATATTTAGGAAACCCTAGAGACTCACCAAAAAACCTGTTACAACTGATAAACAAATTCAGTCCAGTAACAGAATACAAAATCAATATACAAAAATCAAGAGCGTTTCTATACACCAACAGCAAACAAACTGAAAAAGAGATCAAGAGGAATTTCAGTTGTAATAGTTATTAAAAAAAATGAAGAAATGAATTTAATCAAAGAAGTGAAAGATCTCTTCAATAAATACTATACAACACTGATGAAAAAAATTGCAGAGAACACACAAAATGGAAGATATC